TTCTACTAAATCCTTTAAATTTGTAGGAAAATTTTCTGTATCAGTCACTAATTTTAATGGTGAAGTTGAGGGACAAAACTTCTCTTTATATTTATTCCAAATATTTAACAGGTTTCATAAAAAAGGGGTTTCATCTGATTTATTGAACTTTTCTTTACTATATTAAACAAGTATCCTTCAGCATTTCCATTTATTTCTGAAGATTCCATCTCCCACCAAATTAATTTTTCTTTATTGAATATAATATCTCCAATAACTCTTAATTGATTTGCTATATAATAATTTTTAACATTAGGCATTCCTAAACCTCCTTTTTTTTGAGGCTTATACCAATATCTTTTATTTATTCTAGATTTTTTTGCCTTGATTATAAAATCCATTAATTAATCCCTGCCAATATTTAAAATCCTCTTCTTCTAATTGTATTGGGAGCATCCTAAATAAAAAAGTAATCTTCGGTAGTATTTTCATTTTATATATAGCGATCCTCCCAAACCATGATATTTTCAATTTGGCATACTCTTGCAATTTATCTTTAATTTCATTTTTTAATTTATTAAAATTTTTCTCTTTTAATTTTTGAGTTGTTCTAACTATGTTTATACCTAAATATTTGATAAGATTACACATTTTTACGCTATATTTATTCACAAACATTTCTTGTTCCTGTATATTATAGTTATCTGCAGTTTCTGTAAGTTTCTGAAGATTAAGCAGCCTGATAAGTTGGGACAGGTTTTCTGTTAAATGAAAGCTGTTTTTACTGACAGCCATATTCTTGACTATTATATTATGCAATTGATGATATGCACTGGATTTATATTTGTAGTGTATTATTACGTTACACAGTGTCGAAAAGAAATCGTTACTGCTCACCACTCGGTCAAGATTTAGTGTCCTTGTGCTGGGCTCTCTACCAATGGCCCACAAGAGGCAATCTACATCTTCAATAGTCTTAACGGTGGGTTTATGGTTGTGGGGAGAGGATGTTACCGTCACTGCCAGAAGTCCAGAAGGTGATTTTGTGACTGATTTAACCTATAAAGAAACAAGAGATGGCTGAAGTACAAGAGAGCAAGTTAGGACAATATAATGAGAAAATAGCTGAAGTAAGGTTGGATTGTAAAGGTCAACTTTTTTTTTCCTGCTTCACCCCTCTTCTATCATATAGGTAATTTCACAAGCTGTTACAAAATCTATTATTTTCACTTTTAAATTTCCGACAAGTCGTAAGCATGGCTGTAGTCATAAAAGACACAAAAGTCAACCTCCTCAGAAATTACGTTACACAGTGTCAAAAAGAAATCGTTACTGCTCACCACTCGGTCAAGATTTAGTGTCCTTGTGCTGGGCTCTCTACCAATGGCCCACAAGAGGCAATCTACATCTTCAATAGTCTTAACGGTGGGTTTATGGTTGTGGGGAGAGGATGTTACCGTCACTGCCAGAAGTCCAGAAGGTGATTTTGTGACTGATTTAACCTATAGAGAAACAAGAGATGGCTGAAGTACAAGAGAGCAAGTTAGGACAATATAATGAGAAAATAGCTGAAGTAAGGTTGGATTGTAAAGGTCAACTTTTTTCTTTTTTTTCTTCCTGCTTCACCCCTCTTCTATCATATAGGTAATTTCACAAGCTGTTACAAAATCTATTATTTTCACTTTTAAATTTCCGACAAGTCGTAAGCATGGCTGTAGTCATAAAAGACACAAAAGTCAACCTCCTCAGAATTTCCACTTTCATGTGAGCAAAAGAAATGATCGATCATCAAGGCAATGTCTGCCCAAATTTCATGAAACCACGGGGCAGGCAAAAATATTTTCTGATGATTCGAGGAAGGAGTCCGGACTGTCCTGCACAACTTCACTGTTCCCAGCAAGCAGAATAAGCTGCAGAAATCTCCAGCCATTATAAGTTACGCAGAACAGAGTATGTAAAACATAATTAGGTGGCAACAAGGCATGCCAACTTGCTTCTCTCCCTTTTAAAAAAACCCTTTTATTTCTGCTAGCCTCTGTCTATCTCCAATCTGTTTTAATAAAGCTTTTCCAGGTTTTCAATAACTGCCTAAATTAGAATAGGCTTATTAGGTACAAGCTGTAGGTGTGTGTTCTGCAGGATCGTAGGAGTAGTTGTTTTTCAAGCACTTATGTGCACAACATGATTTTCATTATTAACTAAAGTTGCAAAATAAAGCTTTTCTTAATATATAACTTGTGACCCAAATGTGGAATTTTTATTTTTATTCCCCACAGTCTTGATTAGGTAGAGACAACTGGCAACTTTTTGGAATAACCACAGAAAGCTCCATGTACTTGGCCTCAACATTTGGCAACCTGTCCTAATTATATCACTTCGTACAGAAACCGTATTAGTAATGCTGCATAAAGTGGCCTGTTCTTGTGTTTCTGCTACTTCCTCTCAAGCAGTATTAAGTAAGCGTAATTTATATGCCATCTCACTGAGCGCTGAGGAAAGTTCCTTTACTAAACTCACTGATCCCAGGATCTTAAACCAAACCAAACAGCTAGCCAAGATATATATATCCCTACTGAGAAGTAAAACTATTCTACACTATATAAAAAACAGTTTATGCCTTTAAGGTGACTAACAGTTGATTATTAAAACGCGACACATAACGAGGAGGCGCAATACCCATGAATGTTTCCAGACTTCCACGCCACTGTTCTCCAACTCCTGAGTGCAGTTTGAACTGATCATAGAATCAAAGTTTCTCAGCACCTGTAGGGAAAAGCATTCAATCAGATTTTCTGTTCATTCACAGAAAGAAAGAAAAAAGACCCCTCACTTATTAGGGCTAGTGTAACATAAGGATGACAAATGAGATATGAATCTAGAAGTCCCGAGTTCATGGTGGGCACTTACTTTGAACTCAAAAAATTCCAGTTCTCTCAGACCTCACTCTCCTTCTATATCTGTAATATACAGATAAGAAGACTAACTTCTTTGGAGAAATGTTGCAAGGAACAGAGAGCATGTATGTGAAGCAAATTATTTTTTCTCTCTTGTCCTATTGTATTACCAAACCAAGTCACAGTTAATTGTTTTCATGATACTGTGGTTTTGCAGCAATGAAGCACCTTCTTGTTCACAAAATGAGCTGCTTAACACATCCCATCTTCATTTGTTCTATAATAAAAAAGAATGTGGCTAATATTTGTATTTCAAACCACAACACATTAATGTCATAGGTACAGTAAAGGAACTATAATATTGCTGTAACATACTAATATATAATCATTATACATAACTACACAGAATATTGCTTAACCAGATAACAATTTAAAGTTTTGCCCCATCCTAAAATACAGAGGCTGCATTATGCTCCCACATCATCCATCAATGTGAATTTCAAGATCTTGCAGTTCCTCTCTGAACAATATTGAGCAAAGACTTCAGATCACACGAGTGCACCAGAGGCAGCATCTGTTGCCTGGATAACACAGCCACAGGGAAGTATAGGAAACTGAAGTAGCCAGCATTAACAGGAGATGTCATGTCACAGACAATGAGCTATGGATGTCCTGTTAGGAGGCAGGAAAGAAAGCGAAGCACATCTTACCCAGCAGGCCCATCAGTCTGTCTCTGGTACCAAATGGCTATTCCATAATAATGGAATAGAATTTGTTGAAACTTCCATGTACAGAGGGCTTTTCAGAAGAAGCCCAGATCAGAACTTTCAAGTAATCCATCTCTTGCCAATATGGAAAGCCTCATGATTACAAATATGCACTTATCACATTGAAATCTCACTCACTCCTCATGAAAGGCTGTCAAGGTAGAGAAAATGAGTTGTCCAAGGCCACAAGTGACTTTCAAAGCTCAACACAGACTTGAACTATCAACGCCCAACAGTCCACCTACCATACTACCCTAGATGTTAATCACAGATAGTTTGAAGCAGAAGGAATGTGAAGAGAGCAGGAGACAGAAAGGTACATGCTACAACAAGCAATACGTTCATAAACATGTAGAGAAGGGCAAGAACATGGTCAGCAAATGCTGTTTAGAAGCCAGAAATTCTTGGGGCTTGGTTGTTGTTTTTTTAAAGGTGAGGTTCTAGCCTATGGAAGAAAAATAATTGCAAGCTGCAGCCATATTACATTTTAAAGATATCTGTCATATGTTAAACATTTTCAAAATCAAATTCTGGAAGAGCCTTTTAAAAGCAAGGGAATTGTGTACAGTACAACCAGTGGACAACCTGCTTCTGATGTAAAGAGGGGCAGACATAAGACATATCCCACCTCCTCTCTGTGAGCTAATAATTTCAACACACATGTAATGGAGACCAGATGAAAGTCACAAAGCTTACTCTGCCAATTGCTAGCACCAAGCAAGGTAATAGCAACAGGAGTAAATCAGGGATCAGGTAACACTGGCACTGCCTCAGAATAACCCAATACAGTGGTGCCTCGCTAGACAGTTACCCCGCATGACAGTTTTTTCGCTAGACATCGACTTTTTGCGATCGCTATAGCAATTTGCAAAACAGTGATTCCTATGGGGGAATTTCGCTGGACAATATTTGGTCCCTGCTTCGCAAACCAATTTTCGGTAGACAACGATTTTGACAGCTCCCTCCCGCTTGCAAAATGGGTGTTTTCGCAAGACAGCTATTTAAACAGCTGATTGGCGGTTCGCAAAGCGTATTTCCTATGGCCAATCTTTGCTAGACAACGATGATTCTCCCCCATTGGAACGTATTAAACAGGTTTCAATGCATTCCAATGGGGAAATGCTGTTCGCTAGACAATGATTTCGCTAAACAGCGATTTCAGTGGAATGGATTATCATCGTCTAGCAAGGCACCACTGTATATCATTCCCAACATGCATCCCTCAGAGAAGCCCAACACAATGCATGGTAGAGACAGGAAAAGCAAAAGTAAGTGAGTATGCCTTACCCTATCAAAGCGTATCAGTAAGGAGGTCTTGGAGCCTAAGGCTGAAAGGATGCCAGCTATCTCCACAGCTATGTAGCCAGCTCCAACCACAACAGTACGCCTGAGAGAAAGAATAATGGACTGTAAAACATGTCTCTCACATACAAACAGGCATGCATATCCACACCATTCACACTCGCATCCTCTTATCAACCTTTTGGTCTTTTAAGTTGCCACAATACTTCTTATATTTTTCTTCTGTTTTTTATTTTATAAGCTGAAACAGACTAACATGACCATTTCTTTCATAAATGGATTTAACACACACACACCCATATAAAATTACTGTTTGGCATAATATTTTACTAGTGAAACTGTGGTTCCACCTATCCTGATTTCCAATTTGACAAAATAGTGCAGGGAACATGTTCAGCAAATCTCCAAATACTTTCATGTTAGGTTCATGAGCCTGGTTTCTGCACTTAAATAAATTTTACAATAAGTTTCGTATTTTAAACTTTGATGTGAGAGGTGCGCATGTGGTGTGTATGTGTGTGCACGCATACACACACCTCACACATTCCCACTCATTCACCCATCCACCCATAACCTGTAACCCACATAATTTCCGAATAATCTCCATTTCAACAAAACAAAATTAGTACAAGTTCACATTAAAATGTCCAAAACTGATTGCAACTTACTTAGGCAACTCTTCAAGTTCAAAGAACCCATCGCTACTAATTCCCAAGCTGGCCCCTGCAAAGCAATAAGATAGGATCCTAAACATTTACGTTCATTAGTTGTACATATACATTGATTAATGTGTAACAAAATCAAAATGAAAGTATTGTGGCAGTTTAAAGCCATAACAGATCTGTTTTCATCTGAACATTCAAGGATTACTATCTGCTTTCAACATGTTTTGTAATCCACAAACACTCACTTATTCTCAAATACTGTAAATCTGTTGGGTCTTTTAAGTGCTACAATACTTCTTAAATATTTGGTCTGTTTTTATACACTCAAACAGACTAATGTGAACAGCTCTTTCATAAGTGGATTCAACTCATGCAAAAGTTCAATTTTAAAAAAAAATACAGAATTGCTTCATATATCCAGATAAAAATATGAAAAATGTATCATACAGCTACACTCATTAGAGAACCAGGAATTTGCCTGGAGTGGCCCTTACTAGCAGATACACTTACCATGTCAGAAAAATGCACCTAGTAACAGACCAAAAGTACTTCTAGCTAGCAAAGCTGAAAGGGCAAAGGTTCCTCTAGGAAGGATGGTATGAATATGTGTATTGTGTGTGTACTATATACAGTGGTGCCTCGCACAACGAGTGCACCATAGAGCGATGAATTCGCTCTAAGAGGCCAGTTTTGCGATCGCAAATGTGATCGCACACCGATGCCTGCATCGGGCAAAAATCGCGGTTCGCTTACCGACCTTCGCTTTGCGACCCGCCGATCAGCTGTTCGGCGGCTACAAAATGGCCGCCGGAAGCCCCAAAATGGCCGCGCGCAGCGTTTTTGCGCCCTCGTTAAGCGAGGGGAGGGCGCGAAAATGGCTGCCGGCCATTGCAAAACATCGCTGAACAGTGAGTAAATCAGCCAACGGACTTTTCTGCCCCGTTCAGCGATGTTTTCACACAGCGAGGGTTAATTCGGCACCACTGTATTACATACAAGGAATAGAATCAAATAATGGAAGAATCTTAACGAAGCTGAGATATCAAGCATAATTACAAGTCAGCAGAAGAGCGACACAGTACTAGAGAAATCCCAGAACCACCCTGGGAGCAGGCATTCACAAATTCCTCCACCAGCCCACGAGGGCCAAGTTTCTCTTGTGAGAGGGATGCGCAGAAGCTCACAATGTCCCCTCACTCCAAATTCCACGTGAGGGTAATAATTCTATAGGCCTGTGTAATGGCATTTGCTGGCACATCTCTCTTACTACTGTTATTTTTCCATTTCCTTTTTTTTCTCTTTCTACTCTCAAAATGTGTACTTCATGAAAATGTATATATACAGTGGTGCCCGCGCATAGCGACGATAATCTGTTCCGGATAAATCGTCGCTGTCCGGAAACTTCGCTATACGGGGCAAAAAACCCCATAGGAACGCATTAAACTCCGTTTAATGCGTTCCTATGGGGGATAAACTCACCGCTAAGCGGGAATCCTCCATAGGGCCGCCATTTTCGCTGCCTCGGTAAGCGAGGAATCGGCGCAAAAACGCTGCGGGAGGCCATTTTCTTGATCCGGCGGCCAGTTTGGAACCGCCAATCAGCTGTTCTAAAACATTGCAATGCGAAGATCGGTGAGCGAAACGCTTACCGATCATCGCAATGTGATGTTTACCCTATTTAAACATCGCAATGCGATCGCAAAAGCAATCGCAAAAAATGCGTCGCTATGCGGATTCGTCGTTAAACGGTGCGCTCGTTAAGCGAGGCACCACTGTATATTAAAAAGTAGATGAGGTATTTTGAGCAAAAGTGTTTCTGGATCCAAATAGAATATGGAGTATAACCACTGCCTTAGGTTGCAGAAAGCTGCTCCCTTTGGGTGTATTTTTTAAAAATAATTTTTTATTAATTTTATTTTATCAATCCATTCAAATTAACATAACGGAACAATACCTATTGCGTTACAATAATAATACATTTCTTATTCTTCAACTCTTAAACTGTCATACACATAAATGGTTTACATTATTTTCACAGTCTCTTCCACAGCTGATTACTGCATTTTTATATCTCGCTGATGTTGCTTAGAATAACCAGCAGTCCAACCTACTGTCCACTTGGTTTACTCTATATTTTGATACAATACTGGATTTCAAGAGGGGGTGCCATATCTTCATAAAGTTATCTTTTTAAATCTCCCTTCTGCATAATCTGACCCGATTATCCATTTCTCCACCACCACCATTGTCCATACTTTATTCATATATTTTTGCAAAGTGAGGTCATAAGCATCTTTCCAGCACTGAGAAACTTCATTCTGCGCTACTCCTATAACAGTTCCCACTAATTACAGTGGTGCCCTGTATAGCGAGGTTAATCCGTTCCGGATTAACCCTCGCTATACGGAATCATCGCTAAACGGGTAGGGGAAAGGTATTGGAACGCATTAAACTTCATTTAATGCGTTCCAATACCTTCGTTACTTACCCGTTCAGCGAGGATTCCAGGTGCTGGCAGCCATTTTCGCGCCTTCGCTAAGAGAGGGCAGGGCGCGGAAACGGCTGCCGGCAGCCATTTCCGGGCTTCCGGCGGCCATTTTGGAACCGCCGATCAGCT